CGCGAGTGAGATCGAGAACGATGCGCCCCCGAAGTGCTGCGCTGCCTGCGCAAATCTGAGTGTCAACGGCAGTTGGCAATCACAACTCGTGTGGCTGCGCCTCCGGTTCGAGGGCGAGCATGGCGAGCGGCCTCGCCGCCTTGGGGGCGTTCGTGAGCGCCTGGAGGTCATCTGGCCAATCGGGCTTTCTTTCTTCGTGATGCTTTCAGAAGAGCAATGCGGACTTTGACTGAAAAGACTTCATTGATGCATTGAAAACAACACGTCAGGGCAAAGCACACGGGGGTTGTCTTGTTGCAAGGAAGTTTGATAGTTCCTCATGTCTTCGTGAGCACGCGGGGTAAGGTCGGCCCGTTCTCCCTCCTTCACACGCCGATTTGGGGTCGGGTGGGTGAGCCGCAACCTACAGTGTAGACTACGGAGTAGCACTACCTGTGTAGCCTACAGTGTAGGCTACAGGGAGTAGAGAGGAGGAGCACCTACTCGTGTAGCCTAGATTGTAGGCTACAGGAGGAGCATTACCCGTGTACAGTGTAGGCTGCAGGGGTGGCGCTGCCCGTGCAGCCTACAGTGTGGCTCCCTTCATGGTTGCCTCTGGCTTGAACAACGAACGCTATCTCAGTCCTCAAAGTTGTTTTTTGTCATATTTCTACGCCTGTTTTTTGTAATTCTTCTTGGCCCCCTTCCCCCTGAAATGAAGAGTACTTCGTACAGGCGTAGGAAATTCTGAGGGCGAACCCCCCCACCACCTCTAAAGAGCAGTGTGTGTTGTATGCTTCGTTCCTGTTCGCAAGCTCAGTCGTCAGCAAAGAAAACTGGCTCTGTGGCTTACGAGTGCTTTACGCGACCGAGCCTGCTGCGCGAGTCTTGCCGCCGTGCCCGGCGAGAGTCGGATCTGGTCAGGTGTCTCAGGCTAGGAATAAACCTATGTATTCGCCGGCCTTTCTGGGGGGCGGGCGTCAGTGATGTCATTGGTTTATTGGAGCCCGCACTGTCTTCGACCCATTCGCCACTCGAGCTTGGTTGCGCGGTCTCCCTTTTCCGGTGCTCGTACCCACTCTGCCACACCACTACCCCCTCGTCCTTTCCAACCTGTTCCGCGTCTAAGCTGCATATGGCATATATAGATCACGTAGCAGTTTTGAGTATGTGCAGCTATGGTTACCTTGTTTCGGGGGTCCGGGAATGTTTGTCTGTCTCCCCCCCCCCCCAGGTCCGAGCACAGCAGCGAGCCTTGTCTTTCTTAGTTCTCTCTTTCCCCTATGGACTGGCCGCTCCATTTCATGCTGGCTTTTCGACTTCAATTCTGGCTATGGTGTTTCCGCTGTTAAAGTTTGTTCTCACGGGCCTTAGGGGGTCGGCCTAGGTTGCCTCCTCGACGCTAGGACTGGCTATGACTCGAATCTTCACTCCGATTGCCAATTCCTTCAGAAGACCTCCAGAGAGGCGGACCGGGAAGCTGCCGCGTTCCACTTACGATACGGATGCCACTTACATTATGGAATCAATTCCCTCTGAGTTTTCTTGATGACCGGCGTGCGGCTACCAAATCAACGTGCTCACGGGAACATCTTCTTTCTGATACGATTCTGAAGTGACTGTTATAGCCTCGCTACTTTTGGAGGGTGTGTCTCCCTGTGGACCCAAGGAGGAAACCCAAGCCCCCGTTGGTCCTTGCCAGCCTACTTTTCTCATCTCAGCTAAGCAATCTCCTTTCGGTAGCTTTACTTAGATCTTTCATGTTTGCTTCTCCATCTACCTCCACAATGGCTGGTGCTGATGGTTACCGGATCGGAGCTTGCCCGATGGAAAATTCAGCCACTCCAAAAAGGCTTGATGACGGGTTCAAATTTTTGCGCCCTCCCGTCCTTCCCACTCCTGTTTGCCCCTCTGTCCCTCCATGCCCCTCAACAAAGTCCAGGTAGGGGTTAGGGCTGCTACCGCGGGATAAGATGTGTGCTCGGCTCGAGCTGAAGGCATGGCTGTGGGCGGCCGACCCGAAAACAACGCACCGAACGGCCATGAACCTCGAGTTTGAGCGCGATGCGCGCCGGCTAGGTGCCTGGGCAAATCAAGGACATCACAGTTCCGCATAGTCAATGAGACCGTTAGATTTTCTAGTGACCTATTCAGCAAGATCGAGCTGCAAGATGCCAAAACACACGACATACTACTGGACATTAGTGAACGCAGAAACATATGTGGAGGTGGCCCATGTCATGCTGATTGTTTCAAAACGAGCTCAAGAGCGAACGTCATGTCAGTCTGCTGAGCAAAGTTCTCTTCGGCCGCGGCTGTCGCTCCTGCACCCAACGAAGCAGTACCAGTACTCAGTGGTTTGCAGCACTTGCAGTCATGGACAGCATCGGCCCCATTCTACACGAAGCAGGTGCCTCCGCCTGGAGTTGCTTCTGCTGCCCATCTCGCAGAGCTGGATATTACCCTTTAAACTGTTAAGCTTAACTAGCATCGTGTTTTGTATTGTGTTTTGTACACTGACACAGTTCCTGCATCAGACTGCGCAGGTAGTCCGCACTTTACAGTGGTGTGCAGTGGCAAGCTTTTGCAATCTTCATCACTTTTACATACTCAGAGCGTAGTCCGAGTGCTAAAGCTAGATTAGGCTTCAGCTCCTGCACAAGATCAAGGGATTAATGACATCCTTGTTCTGTCAGCCTTGCATGCCTATCATAAACAGCGAGCGGCTGCTCTGGGCACCGCGGCTTCGATTCGCGTGAGCAGTAGTGACAGTTGGTGCTCCATCCGAACCGCATTCACAAGTCTCATCAAGCCGCTGTTGTCGAAGTCACACTCCCAGTTAACATCACCCAGGCATCTCCCATTGCAAAGGGTTGCGCACCAACGCAACGAATTTTCAGCTCCAGAGCAGAACTCAAACATGCTGAGAAACTGGACACAGCTTGATGAGTATCATCTTCGGCAAGAGTTTTTGTCCAGCCGACGATTGAAAGAACATGACGTTGATTCACACCAGCTGGTCATGACTAGACATGGGAAATTTCATGGAATTTCCAAAGACTACATTTGTTTTTGTGAGGATGCTCGGAGTGACATGAAATTGTGATGGACCAGCATCTGTGCGATCGGAACATATCTGAGAATGGGCCGGCTCGGATGAGACACCCTACTGGTAGGGATATGGCATGCGGGGATACAATACTCGATTTTGCAGGGGAAAGCGGGGGGCGGGGGGTTGTAAGGTTGAAATTTGAAATCGATGATGTAACCTCCATAATTCTTTTGTACGATGATTCGTCTTATGATGTAACCCCAGTTGGATGAAAGCTCGTGGAAAGGAGATGTAACCTTTGTTAGAGCTAGAAAAAAGGATTCGTGGTGCTTCCCACAAGCGCAAGCTGCTGGATCTTTAGTAGAGTTTGACCCTCTTTTTCACAAGGCAACCAAAGGGGAATGAGCACGCAGCAGCGTCTTCTTTTTCAATAACTTAGACCCAAAAACAATGAGAGACCATGTCAACCCAGAAGCCCACAAGCGACGACACTCGACTTTGGCCAACCCAGACATCCAAAAGCAACGTCACTCTCGCATTTGCCGAACGCAGATGTCGAAATCGATGCCAGGATCGCACTTGGCGACCACAGACTCCCAAGGCGATGACAGCTTCGAATCTTCGAGAAAAACGCATGGTCCGGGCCTTGGGCGCCGCCGTTCATGTTCAGACATCCCTGACTCTTTAGTGTCATAGGCGACGACACCGTAGCATTTCGAGAGACGAGACCGAAAGCATCTTCGAAGTTTTAGCAAACTTCGAGAGGCCGAGCTAGCATACACTGTCGTAACTCGCTTCACACGTCACAAGCGTTCACCAACAAATTTCAAGCACGGACTGGACACCAGAACCCAGCCGAGAATCCAGAACATATGCGCTCAGCCAGGTCCAGCAAGTCGTTGCCTGAAAGTAGCTAGCCTATTGGGCCCTCCTTCGTCCCTTCAACCTCGGCGGCTGGTCGGCTGTGTTGTCACATGCTGCGGTGCTGAGCTGCTACTGAACTAGGCATCTGAAGGAGTCTGAGGACTTTTGAGGATCACAGACTTGAAGGGCTACGAATCGGGCTGATTCTGTGCTGGGTCCCTGGCCTTTGGACTCGTCGCACCGTCGTCGGCAGATGAACTCTCTCCTCTGGCTCTTCCTGTGCTGAAGCTTGCTTGGTTTTAGCCGTTTCAGCCTGGTAAGGTTGATAAGATTGGGGGGCGGTTTGAAGTGTAGAAATTTCGGGGGTTCGACTGGGGTTTGGGCCTTAAGGGTTTAGGTGTCGTTGAATTGCTGCATGTTCCGAGGGTTCTGAGGCGCGAATTGCGTTTCGGGCTGGCGCGCCTGCCACCCTCAAGATATGGGGATCGAAGGCATTCTGGGTCCCATTTAGAACAGTCACCACCAGCAGACCCACAAATAAAAGCACCCGGCAAATGCCAAAAATTGACTGGGATTCCTGGTGCGATTCCTGGTGCTATTCCTGGTACTATTTCTGGTGCTATTTCTGGTGCTATTTCTGGTGCTGTTTCTGGTGCTGTTTCTGGTGCTATTTCTGGTGCTATTTCTGGTGCTGTTTCTGGTGCTATTTCTGGTGCTATTTCTGGTGCTGTTTCTGGTGCTATGTGACGGTAAATGCAAAAATCTGCTAAAATTGACTGGGATTCCTGGTGCTATTTTTGGATAAGGCCACGGCGTTATTTAACTGTTAGTGTGGACCGGCCGACCCCAACCCTAATCCCTAAACCTTAAACCCGAAACCCCCAGACCCTAAGCCCTAAACCCCAAACGCGAAACCTCACAATTTGCAGCTTTTGGAAATGTTTGACAGGTTTGTCGACGATCACAGTACGTTCCTTCTGACTGCTGTGCTGTGAGGTTGGTTGGCCAGCCAGGCTTGACAGGTGCGGAACTGCACAGCCATTTCATCCGAGATCTCACGGAAGCCTGACTTGCGGATCTTTTCTATGACTTGCTCTGGACACAATCATGAACACTTCTGCTCAGATCTCATTGGCTTTGCAGCCTTTTCCAGGGCAACGCCACCCGCCTGGGCTGCAGCAACTTCTTGCTTGGCATTGGAAGGGCAACAAAGCAACCAACCATCAGGAACCTCCTCCTTTCCATCAGGGACAAGCTTTGTATCCAGCTGACTTAGCTGACGCGACTCCTTCACCTCGTCAGCCTCATCTAGGATGTGAATTTGACCAACTCGGACAGGTAGGAAGATGTTGCCTGAGATCCGTAGCCATTGGCCGTCTGCCTCAAGCTGCCCAAAGACCGTGGTCCCATTTTCCGCATACCTGGAATATCGCTCTTCCAAATCCTTCGACTTCCTGTATTGAACTCCAGGATAAGGCTTTGGCACGCTGACCTTAAACTCTGACATGAACAGATTAACGTGCAGATTGGCGATCCTTTGCGACAGACCTGCCGTCAGGTCTTTCTTAAGCTGAGTCTGCAGCATCTGCCAGGATGCCTCATCCGCAAAAAAAGCCTCCAGATGCTGTGTCACCTCATCATCCATTTCCACAACAGACGTCTCCTGAACAGTAGGGGTATTCGGGGTTTGAGAGGAACCAGACGCCTGAGAAGATCGTCGCCGGGAACCAGCGACTGCAGATTCGATAACCTTCTTTTCCCCGGGCTTCTCATTGTGAAGCTTCGATTTGCACTCGAGCCCGTCGAACCCTGTGCTCTGCTTCAGGGCCTCACTGGCCGCCGCGGCAGCAGCCGCCGCACGGGGCAATGCTGGAAACTCTTCGAGAACTCTTGCAGGCTGGGCTCCTTGCATACCTCCTTGTGGGCTCTCGCTGGCGGGGCTCTGCGTGGCTCCCTTCGGTGGGGCTTGGAGGCGTTTCTCAGCTGGCATCACCTTCGTACTGCGCTCAGATCCCGTAACTTCTCCCACGCCCTGCACCGGCTTGTGGACGACCTCTGATTGGCCGTGATCCAAAATGGAAGGCTCAGGTGTCTGTGGTGACCTTGGTGTCTTTGGGAAAGAGCCTTGAACATCTTTGTCCCTCTCTGTCTCGCGATCTTGGCCTGATGAGGGATTGCCAGGTGGGCTTAGTCTCACGCCCGAGATACAGGCACTAAGATCGGCTGCTCGGTAATTGGAAAGAAAGAAGCATCCAAACTCAGACTCCATGCTTTATCGAACATGGGGTCTGCAACGGTTCCTCAACACCGACGCTTCAGCAACTGTTCCTGACACAACACGAGTTTCCGCTTGTTATGCTGCAGAACCTTACGATGTGCTGAACTCAACTCGGAATTTCCAGCTTTCTGAAGTCCCAACCATGGTTCGGTTCGAGCCAAAAGCGACCATGTGCTGAAGAACGGCTTCAGTCTGGCTTCAGTTTCGCAGAAGGATGATGACAAGTTATAGACGTCATGCTTCTGCCTCAGCATCTCCACCGCCGATGAGAAGGGGACGGCAGCCTAAACAAGCCGTCATGTCGGATACTTAGCTCGTGGAGTTCAAGGGATGGGCTGTCAGCGCCTGGGTGTCGTTCTTGAACTTTCTCCAAGTTCGCTGGGCAGGCCCTACAACACGGTTCAGATGCGCGGCCGTGGTTAGGCTCTTGGATGCACTTGAAAGACTTTAGTCTGGACTGTTGAGGTCGGTGAATCCGGGTTGCTTGTGCAAGGTGAACTGTACACATGCATGCTGAGGTCTTCTGGTGCAGGTCTTTGGAGGTTGCTCCGAAGATCTGCCGACCTGTGTTGCACGCCACCCGGAAAGCTCACAACGCAAGGATAAACATGCGCGAATACGAGCTTCTCAAATATCTCAAGTTTGGGCAAGTGGGGGGGGGGGTGGGTTGATACATCTGACATCAGTGTGTTCTATCTGACAGCAGCGCGTTCTATTTTACTATGCAGAGGACATGCACATCCGCCGCTGCTGCCTCCTTGCAACTCAGATGCACAGTTGCTCACGCAACGCACGACCAGGCGAAGCAGCCATTCGCAGTGCTCTGCACTTCTTACCAAGTATCCGATATGCACTGGAGACACTTTACTGTGCGGCCACATGACTGAGTGGCCGTGTACGGTAGGACTCTGGTTCTTCTTGCAGTTCTTTCTTTGGGTACGGGGCCAAGTGCTATTTGAGACTCTCGAGATGTTGAACAAGGCATGAAAGATTCGACACGGTGCTGGGGTTGAGATTTGAGGCACGGAGGCATGAGAAAATGAGGCTGGGAGCCACCTCGCAATCACCATCACCTTGACTCCCAGTCGTCTTCATAATGCTCGGCTGTTTCCGTGCACCTCACACCAAAGACATCACGCAATTCGGATTCATGTGTGAATGTGAAGCAAGGTATGACTACTGGCTAGCAGCGTCCTGAAATCCGCCGAGCGCAAGTCTGAATGCTTTGAGCGCACTGGCTGCCGGATGTCGTCTCAAGATCTACTGTTCATGCAACAGACCCGTCTCATTTTGGAATGGAGCGCTCATCTGGTGCCTGCGCCGCGGGTTAACTTCCAGTCCAATCACAATAGCGAACGGTCAGCAGCGAGTGCCTCGCCCTGCAAAGGCGCATTGCCCTGTGCTGACGGGTCCATGGACGGATAATATGGCCTGTACCTCAGCAACAAGTAGCAGTTGTCAGCTCAGCACGACAGCACGTCGTGACAATACTTCCCAAAACTCAGCGCAAGCGCCTTCAAGAATCAACACGGAACAAGAAGCTACAAATGCCAACAAAGGTCCTGCATTCATCCCATTAACGACAATAACAAAGGCATGTGTCATATTTCCGAACATGAGATGCAGTTCCAGAAGCTCGCTGCTCATGCTGCAAAAGTAAGGATGCTACGTGTTGCCAGCAGGCGGGGCCGACCTGCTAGAGGTTGAGGCATCCGGTCCCATTTGTCTTTGACTGAAGCATGATAGGTTCGTGCAGTAAGGCCAGTGCCCTTCTGCCACGGCGGAAGCTGCCTCTTTCTCTTTGGAAACCTGCCAGGCAAATCAGCAGAATGGTTGGCTTGATGATCAGAACTGCACTCGATACCTGTTTGCTGTATGTGCCTATAGCCACTTAGACTTTTGGGTAGAGGCCTGCGGCCGGCCCCAAGTCACGTTGACATTCTTGCCCTGACAAGTCTGACAGTCTCAAAGCATGTCACAGTCACTGTCTCAAGCGAGAGGACGTTCGGGAACCGAAGAAGATTTGACGCAGTGTCTGGTCAGAGCCGCTGCAAGCGGCGATGTTTTGCAGCACGGATCAGCACCCGCACCAAACCAAGGCCAACGCATTTATCTTGAGGATCCTGTGCGTGTTCTTGGCAGCTTGCTCTGCCACCTTCACAAGGATGTCAAGCAGAGGTCTCAGTCGTAACCTTTGGTAGCCACCAAGCAGGCACCCACAACGAGCCTCTCGCTTCACGAAGGTGACGAAGGCACAGCTTTGTTTCGGTGCCATCCTGATACTTCGGATCCTGAGGCATCAAGAAGCCTAATCTTAAACTGCTATCCGAATTTTCGTAGGACTCCTAGGAAGGTCCCCAAAACAATCTCCACAGATGGAAAAGGGCCAAAATGCCGCAGTAAGCCGTAGTAAGCCTTAATGTGTCCCGCAATAGTCCCTCCATAGTCGCTGATTGCACGTGCTGTTTGGTGGGATGAAAGGTGGGGGTTCGATGATGTTCGGCTCCAAAAATAACAAGCTTATCGCACTGCGTTCCGTTTGCTCCACTTGGAGGAAGGTGTGCACAGCCACGCAGGACCCCACACCCACGGAAGCCTTCTGACAGCTTTGGCTTGGCCGTGATTTCCGATTAGACCCCTGCGATTACCCATTTATCTCACAGTTTTGGTCAAAGGGAAAACTCCAAAGAAGCCGGCGAAGGTTTTCCCCAAGGTCCGAACCCCTGCATAGTGCGAAGGGCAAACAGACCCAACCAGTTAAAGTTATTACCAACCTCGAGACACGAAGCTTTGAAGGAAGGTTTAGGCAAGCTCATGTGCACTTTGAGCTCAAGAAAGTCAACCAACTTAAACAAATTGACCCTTCGGAGCTTCTGCACACCTGAGGCCTCCACTCTCCAAAAACGTAGAACTGATTTCGGATATCCTGGCCGCATCTGCACAACACAAACATGTAGGGCTTCTTCCATGACCCCAAGCTCCCACTGTGTGTGAGGAGCTTGCACCCTTTGCATGGCAAGGTTTGTTCTCAACAAGGTGCGTGCCTTTTCTTTGGCTCCAGATGGCAGTCCACCAAGATAGAGCCTAAGAGACAGAAAACTGCGTGCCAAAACAAATGCTACTTCACTAGTGTCGTTTGTTGAGAGCTTGGCGTCGTCACGGCCTTGTCTTCTGGCGGTGCTAAGGTCAGGTCCTGCAGCACGGTTCAGCCCATGTAAGGCGAACAAGAGACAGCTAAGACCGGACTATCAACTCGTGATTGGCATGGAGCATGCAGGTGTCTTTACCTGAGGACCTCTCCTCTTCAGCTCTGCGGATGATCTTGTTTGCCAAGGGGTCGTTCTCTCCATGGAATCGATCTCGCCTCTGCTGTGGCTCATTTTTTCGAGAAACCCTGGAGGGCAGCTATCAGCCTAATTTTCAAGCACGCTGAGGATCCCAGCAGTTTCTGGTTGGCCAAATCACCACCCTTCGGAAGCTCGTGCTTGAAGGGACAATCTTGGCCTGGCACTGCCATGGGCTGCCATGGTAGTCGTGGAAATCAAGCTGCATCCCTCCCTGCGCAGGCCTCTGTTGCAGGCACCTTTCACGTAGAAGGTGCATATTCTGGCCTCACGACGGGTCAAAATGTTTCAGGACATGTTCCCCGGCACGTGTTCTCTGCGCCGTTGCACCTCATTCCGTTTGTAGTATGGCGTCATCCGTGCCAGCCTGAAAGCTTGTCCACTACTCTGGACACTGTGGGTACTACTCGTTGTGCCTCACCTCGTTTCGGGCTGCCGCATGATGCCGCATGTCTGTACATAAATTTCTATGGTCCCCAAATTATCCATACTTTTTCTTGTCTTCCACGAGAAAATAACCCTTGACCTCAAAAGTGCTGCACTGTCCCAAACTTTTTGGGGGCCTGGAAGCAAAAACATTGGGACAGTGTTGCTGCCCCAGAAGTCAAAAGTACTGTACGGTTCCAAAAGCACCAATCCCAAAGAGCAAAAATGCAGTACTTTCTCAAAAAAAACCTTTTGGAACTTCCAGGGCTCTCGCAGCTAAATCCCAAAGTTTTGGGCGTTAGTACAGCATTTTTGCTGCCCCAGACCTAAAGTGCTGTACTGAAGAAAGCGAAAATGCTGTATTGTCCCAATCTTTTGGGGCCTAACACCCGCGGGAGCTCTGGAGGTTCCAAAGAACTTGTTTCTGGGTTGTTTTGGGACAGTACTGTCACAATCCCCGCCTCCCATGGTAGGTCTGGGAGAGACAAGTTGCAGGCCTCGTTCGCTGCATGTCCCCCCTGAAGATTTATGTTCTGGGATTTTCGGTTTGGTTCGTGCTGTAGTTCAGGTGGAACTCGAATTCTTTTTTTAAAAGACAACACGCACCCTAAGAAAGCCCCATCTGGCCTTTTCGCAATTACGTCCCAGTGGAAATTCATTCATATTAACAGCACCCTAACCCTAACCATTCTCATTTGGCCTTCGTTCAGTTTTACGTCTGATAATAATTTATGTTAAGCAGACATACCCTCTTTTGGGCTTCATATTTTAGCCTAACTATACATGTATGGAAACTGCCCACACCCTAAAAGATCTTCCTCTGGGAAATCCTTTGGCGTCCCTCGGAATCAATTTTAATTTGAAACCTAAATTATCTGTTGGGCCTCGCTCGCATTTAGGCTTGCCTAGATGTTTCAATGAAACTGCCACATCTTTTGAAATCGCTTGTTCGTAGCAAAATCTCTTTGGATTCTATATTCAGAGGTGACAACCGATGAAACCCATCTGGGCTAGCAGTTGTTGAAGAAGTGACTTTATATAAGAAGCCCACATGCGAAGACATTCTCATCTGGGCTTCGGCTTCGTTCGTAAATAAATATTCTAGACATAATTACTACCTGAAGAGGAAACACCCAAAGACATCATCTTCTGAGCCTCATTCGTAATTAAGTCCACTTAGAGCTTCTATTTTAAGGCCACACCCTTTGAAATTCTCTTCTGGAGGTAAGTGTCAGTAGGGCTGTGTATGTTAAAGGGACGACATTCTCTTCTATGTTCGTAATTACACCCACTTGACATGATATATTAAGGACCACACCGTATCACATCCTCCTCTGGCCCCTTGTTCACAATTAAATTGAACTGAATTTTGCATTTGTATTTTAAAGCCAATGGTGAGAAGGACGGGGATGTGCACTGTGCACCCCCACCCCCCCCCCCCCCGCCCGGCAGGAGCTATTTGACGATGGACGGCTTGAATTTAGTCATTTAATATTTCCGGAATGTGCGCCAGCCTGGAAGTTAATCTTTCTTAAAGAACCCGGCATTCGAGCTCCGCTGGTACACCCTCCCCTACTCCTGCGCCACCCACCCCCCCCCCCCCTCACACCCTCCCTGTCCCAAAGCCCAAAAACACCCCTACCACCTTTCAAAGGACTCATGGGCCCATAACCCCAAAATAGCCCCCGCCCTTCCACCCCACAGGGAAACAGCCCAAAAAAAACAGTTTTGTGTTTTTATCAAGCGGGAAGCTTCATCTATCCCCCATCCCGCTCCGGTGATGCCCTGTGCCGGCGTCACCTCCCACACCATAGTTTATCCATTTTTCTACATATTGCAGTATCGCCGTGGCGTTGTACATACCTAAACCTCAACCGTCCGAAACATAAACAATTGTAGTCCTTCTGCCGGTGCTGTTCTGAACCACACGGGTTCACTTGACATATTCCTCATGTAAGACTTACAAAAAGCCCGATGGTCACAAAGGCAAGCCCCGAAGTGGTGCGGCACAGTGCCTCTGTAGCATTGGATGCGCGCCCACCTTGCCATATGGCAGATCCTGCGGAGGGCGGTAGCCATCAAGCAAAGCTTCACACTTCCAACATGCAAGACTCATGCCAAGTTAGCGCCACAAAAGAAGACTGCAAAGTCCTCGCCATCTGGATCTTTCTGTGCATTCTGCAGCTGATAGTCACGCCCTGCTCATTGCACGTGTGTTCTGCGCGCAGTGCACAGGGGGCTCGTCATGTGGCTCTTCAGAGCTGCTTCATTCTGCACGTTTACATATTCTGCACATTCTCCAGGTCACGGACCCACACGGGAGTGTGGCAGATCGACCTTGTTTGCTCCGAGCTCCTTGGAGGTTGCACGACATGTGTTCCCGGTCCGACAAAATTTAAGCAGACGCCGGTATGTCCTCCAGGTACTTGTCTCTCACTTGGACAGGGAGGCCATACTCCAAATCAAACAAGCATGTCCTCAAACGTGGCAGGAGCCGTTGATCCGATCCAACGCACATGGCTGGCGACGGGCACCAGAGCTTCCGGTGGTGCCACAACTTGAAGCTGCTCCAAGCTCTCGACTGGCACACGTTCTTGATCTTGGCACAGCTTTGACCTTGCTGAGGATCGCGATCCACACCAACCAAAGATCACAATCTGTCTGTTTGTCTGTCGGACTGTACTTCAGATGTTCCACTTGCAGGCAGCTGGTTGAGCCACGGGCACACCACTGTGGCCTGCAAAGCTTTGATGCATGAAGTCCCCCCCCCCCTATGGTGTTCTAAATTACCTGTTTTGGTCAAAAAGTTTCAAAAGCCTTGTAGCGACCTTGAGTGCCAGCTTTCCATCTAAAGATGGTGAAAGGCCGAACCTCGCTATTCATGGTTCAAACAAGCTCTCTCACACCTGGACTGGACACTCCACATACCCAGGTGTCCAAGTAACTTGAGGTTTCGACGCAAATCTTGCACTCAACGCCGTAGTCCTCTTTCTGCATCCGAACCTGCGCGTGCCATTGAGCTTCAAATTATCTACAGACATGGTTACACCAATTCCTTTTAGGAGCTTAAGGCTTGACACCGCTTGCAAAATTTAGGTGACAAGCCCGACGCCCGAAACCCTAACCAGGCTGCATCAGCAAGTACAAGCCAACTGCAACTGCAATGTTAACAAAAAACGGCTCGTCTAAGAGTGGCACGTACGGGTTGTCTCCAAGGCATGTCTCGCAGAGGATCGGGAACCTTGGCATGCGGCAGTTTCTTTGGTACCCATGCACCCATTCCAATACTGAGGCTGGGACTGGGCTTTCTCCCAGCCTTCTTTGTTTACCTGACAACATGCATGGACTGATGAAAACAATACGTACGGCACTGACTCACTGACGAGCTGACATGCAGCAAACAAGACGACTTGAAGCTTCAGGCCAAATACTTGCCAACAAGACTAAACGTCTGACGCAGCTCCTCTCTTAATGCACGCGCCACAATGCCTGTGATGCTATCCGAAAACCTTTCTCTGTCATGACCTCAGACAAACTTTCGTTCATACACTGTGAATGTCAAGCAACATGGCTCCGCGATTCTTCTCCGAACATCCCACAGAATGCAGAATGCAGGACAGGACTATGCTCCCAATATGGCGCAGCAACAAACATTGCACTTGTTCCTACGTATACGTAACCTCCGCTCAGTGTTGCACCCCAGCCGTTCAAGAACTTGATCCAGATCCCTCATCACACATTAAAGCCAAACAGCCGCGGCGATGAACCAACCGGGCGGCTCGGGAACACAATCCGCTCGCAGCAGTTCTGTTCTTGAACGCCTAGCACTTGAACGTTCGCCGGAGAACAAAAAATCACGCTCCGTCTAATCATGGTGAAGACAAGTCCTGTCAGGCATGCAAGGCAGGGTAACGTGACACGCAGCAGAACTGGGCTCTCTTTGGGAATGGAAAGGGTCATGCATGTCATACCCCAGCCAGGGCGATCCAGCCACCGATGCCCACCATGCCTCTTTACTTTCTACTTGGTAAAACATGTAAAACGCCGGGCATTCAATGGCATCCAACGTTCATGTCATTGATTCATGTACCATGGGTTCAGGTCAGAGCTCGACAATTTCGCATCTCGCAAACTTTCTGGCTTGCATCGGAGATGACGCGTCTCTGGCTTCATGTCCTTCAAGGTAGTAACCGCTGGAAGGCGTCGGAGCATCCACGCTGTCATCGAGGTGCGCTGGGGTACCGTTGTGACCGTTGTGGCGCAAACACGCCCTGCATTCATGAATCGTCGCAACTAAGTCGCTGAACCATCACATGCCAGAACCGTTTTTGCCTCTTTGGGAACCCGCCCCGGCGGATACCCTCTGACGGGCCCACCTCGCACAGATGCACACCAGGCACCAGTGTTCGAAGCGTGGCAGATGCGTGCCTTCTCGGGGCCGTGGCAAAAACCCTCATCGCTCCATGCGGTGCGTTCGGCGACGGCGTTCGGTGGGCTCGTCTTCCAAACGGAGTCATACGGTCAGGCAGCAGCCGTCCTTGCGAAAACAAACAGTTGCAGTCCGCGGCGCACATCTGTGAGAACTTCTGCACGACTGTTTGTGGTGGCACACGGGGCAAGCTCAAACGGATTTTTCAAACAGATGTTGCAGCTGAAAGAGGGCAAGTGTCCCTTGTGATCGATAGGAAGGTGGCGAGGCCGAACAGTTCACATGCTGTAGAAATATTCTGACAGTTCAACAAGCTGATCAACAAAACATCTAATGGGCTAACAGGATGGGGTCCTGCACCTAGCCTATACTTGAAGAACGACATGCCCACCTAGCTTGATAAAGCAGGTCTCGGTCTGGACGCTTCTTTTCTCCATCGTCGGTTGCTCAACCCTGTCCCCTCTTCGAGAAGTTGTCCACAGCTCAACGCTATTTGCGGGCCGAATACCCTCCAGTGACCGTTTCGCAGCCTGTGAAATCCTTGGAATTCACGTCGTCCATTTGCTTTCATCTGTGCATCACTCTCGAAGTCATTCAGATCAGGCGAGAAATCTGTCGAGCTCAACTGTCAAACGTACTCTGGATAAAGCGTCGTCACCTTGGAATCCAATGCTAGAGCAAATCACGAGGTGCACTTCTGTGTTCATGCTCTGGCTCCGCGCGTTCCGCTCAGCGAGCCATCTTTTCACTTCATCGAGCTTTTGCCTGGACTTTGGGACATAACTTAACAAGGACTGTCATGAATGGACGGCAGCGACTCTGCTGCCAACGAAAATTGCGAAAGCACTCAGATGATGAGATGTTGCTGAGGTTGCAAACTGGCTGGCAGCAGAAGGTCGGGCTTTCAGTGCTTTTAGAAAGCACCTGGCGCAATCTGAGACGACGTTGGCCAGATGTGCCAGTTCTACGAGTTTACGAGAAATACACTCAACCATTCAAAATCCCGATAGGTTCAAAACCCTTATAGCCATCCTTTCCTTTGGTCGGAGGCTCTCTTGCACCACACTCCAAGCAGGATTTGGGCGTCAGGTGCAAAACGCTCAACAAGATCAGCTCCTCAGCAAAGCACTATAAAGGGGATGGAGCACGTGAAGCTGTGCTTTCTCTAAGCTCTTTCATTGGGGAGGCCTGCCAGCATCTTTCATTACTTCGTTGTTGTCTTCAGGCATCATCCACATGGCCTTTCAAGAGCTGAGGGCTGCGAGGAAAGCACTTCTCTCTGCTTGCCATGAAGGTTCCTCAAGCGTTTCGAAGCAGCTGGATCTAGCCCGTCGAATAAAACCAAGTCATTGTGGCAAGGCCTCGATTCGAGCAAACCTGGCGGTCGAATGTTGCTGCAAGAGACGCCAAAAAATGATGCAAATTCTCCAGCAGTGCAGCGGACCAGCAGATTCTCTTCAACGGTTTTCAGTGGCCTCGAGCAACCATGCAAGCCTCACTGAGCCGTCAACATCCGGGCGACGCCCAGTCGGAACAGGCTTTTATCGTCACACCAAACCTGCACACTGGCACATGCTAGAGATGCCCACGATGTCTATCTTTGAGTGCCTGCACAAGGAGAAAGCGGTCAAACTTGCATATTTCTCTGGGCTTCCCACTAAACAGGCCTTTTCTGCACTCTCTTCAGCCTGAAAGAGGGGAAGAGCGTAACATCACCCTGTTCAGCTCATCCTTGTCGTTCTGTTGTTGTCTGGCTCAGTAGAACGCTTTCATTGTTGGACTCCACAAGCCCTTTTCCCGGCCTGCTTCAGCGCCTGCCTTTTGAAATATTCGAAGTGCTCCTCCTCCTGCAACTCATCAGAGTGCAAACGGTGCTGTCTCAGTTGTCAGACGACCGGCAGCATAGTCGCAACAATGATGCTGAAGTCCTCGAACTGCGACACGAATGCAGTTCCATCTGGAAGAACACCTTTACCCTGGCGGCATGCAGTAAACCATGCTTGCAACCAAGTGATGCATCGTTTATTGCGTTAGCTTTGCCATTCTCTGCCGTTCTGTTCGGTGGTGACTAATGGCAAGAAATTTCTGCTGGCGAGCAAAAGGTCGTCCGTTCGTTTTTTTACAAAGACTCGGCTTGGCTGTCTTGATGGTTCCTTGCCTTCATTGTGGCATTGCTTCTCCGTCTGCTGTCATGTCGTGGTATTCGGATTCATCAGGGATGCGAGTAGGATGACCATTGTCATCTCGACGACAATTCAATATCTAAGGCTCTGGGGAGCTGTGCAGTGTACTTTCAGGATCTGAGGCTGACTTTTTCCAGTGCGGCAAAACCACGAGCACAGCTTCTCAATTTGATTTTCTCAAAGGCGGAAAAGCGCTCACCCATCATAGCCCGTCAAGCATGACGTTGTCCATGCAGTGATAAAAATTCAAACCGTGCTCGCGTTGAAGGTGGAGTTTACCCAAAACCCTTGGCATGTGGAGACAGGATCTCACATCAAGAGCACCCTGCAAGTGGGTTGTTGACTTCGGCAGGCATGTTGCATCTTGCATGGCGATGTCGTCTGTTTCCGCTGCATCTTTATTCCTCAAAATGCTGGCACATGTTTCGCAATGACAAATCTGACACATGCTTCACTTCACGTCATGTTCGTTTCTATGACCCCCTGTTGCCAACACGCGCGGGCAACAGCAGGACCTTGCATCTCGCGACAGCTTGAACTGTGTTTTTGAAAGGTCAACGGGACAGTCGCAAAAGAAGGGCTTTCACAAGTTGCACACCATGAAAAATTGCTATTGCAAGGGGCTGTGCCAAGGACATTGTTACCAAAGCAAGCCTCCGCCGCTTTTTGTTAATTGGTTGCCACCAGTTATGTCATGGACTTGCTCCATTCAAGAATGACTCGTTCTGTGCACAGGGGTGAAGCCCCAGGCAACTCATGTTTTGGCGCCAGCTTGACAAGAATTGGAAAAGGCGGAATCCGACCCGACCAATAGATTAGACCCTGTCAACTGTGTGTGTTTTTGAGTCATTGACATCTATCAAGGGTGCAAAAACCATGGGTTTGGATCCCCGGGGGGTCTTAAACGAGAGAGAGACATATAAAGACAAATCGAGACAGGAAAACATGTTGTCGAGGAAGATTTCATTTGTACTGCAAAAGGCTTTGTCTGGAGCACGTGCTACGACTGACATGCGCAGATGCAATACCGCGTGCCTTTTCAGTCGGGTGTGCTCTGAGCGAGTTTGGTTGTTTTTGCTATACTTTACATGGGTCATAGGTCTCGGGCTGAGGCACGGTTTGATGTTTCCCCTCGTTTGGTTTCACCGGTTGCTGTGCGAAGCAGAGATGGGCCGGCGTATGACCCCGACCCTTGATTTGGTCTGCCAGGGGGTGCGTATTTTGTTGCTTGTAGCATTTGACTTCACAGACTGCCTCAAGAAAGGAGACCTTATGACTTCGTTTTTCCTGCTCCAGACCTCACAGAGAAAAGCATGGCGGCTCTCCGCAAGTACAAGTGGGATGTGCTCTGGATGTTGCTGCTTTGGCACAGACACGGCAGCACTGGCGGACGTGGAGCTGCAATGCATCTCCAGAAGAAAGTCAAGAGCGCGCGGCGGGTTCGTACGCCTAAACAATGCGTAAGGAGAGTGTCGCCACTCCAGCCTGTTCGATGTCTTTGGCTCTTTTCTCGCAACTACTTCTGGTGATCCTCCTGTTCGATATTGAGCCTGGCAACCTTGGGCGATTCATCCCGGTAAAAGGGATATTGGACTACGACGACCACGAGTGGTACTGAAGCGTGGGAGTAGTTGAGAGCGGCTAGCACCCCACCCTTCTTGTTTCACCTGCCGCAAGGCCTTGTACAGAGCCGATTAGAACTCTTTTGCTCTGTAGATCTTGTCCAGATTCTCGACTTTCGTCGATGATGGTAGAGTAATCTCGATTTCTACGCCGTTGCGAGAAGGAGCTTACAGGCTGGTTGGGTTTGAGGCTTTCCCGTTGCGTGCTGTTGGTTCTTTCCCCGTGAGCTCTTTATCGTTTTTTTGCGCTTTCACACCGACCGGCTACAGACCGCCCACTGGATTGCTGACGCATAAAGGGGCTCATCGCCCAAAAAAATTGCCAGGAAGTCGCACGAGTACGAGCTGTGCCTAGATTGCGTTGCAAGCAGGGTGTCTGTGACAAAGGTCTGTGGCCGTGAGCTGCCTCACAGTCATGACCCATGCAAGTGGTTGCTGCTTTTCGTGCTTTCGTAGAGGAAGCGGGATTGTTGTTGTTTTGGTCAAAGGATCTCCTGCCTTGTGAGTGTTGGTTCCGTCATGGAGATTGCAATGGATTGCGAAGGGCCGCGCGGAAATACAAAGATTATGGACGACCTGCTGGCTGCTGATGACGTGGAGAGCTTTTGATACCGCTCGTTCACGTTTGCTTGCATCGCTTCAGCAATGCTGCTCGATCCACCTTTCCTATCTTTCTTTGGGTGAGCCCGAAGAGTGTATAGGGAACTAGTCCAGCGCAATATATCTAGGAACAGGCATGCTGGCAGTTTTTTGGGTCGACGAAAAAAAATCAGAAATCAGAACCGCTGAATCACAAACCAGAACAGCTGAATCAGAAACCCGCCCTGAGTCAGAAACCCAATACGGCTGGCTCGGAAACTGGCAAACAGCTGATTCGGGAACGTGCAAACGGCTGATTCGGAAATTCGTGAAGGCTCATTAGGAAACCGGGAAACGGCTGATTAAACGGCTGAATCGGAAACCGCGAAACCATCCCAAAAACCTGCCAACACCCTTCAAAACCTAAAAACCTCCGCTGGCATTATGGAGACTTATTACGGTTGAGGGTTACAGCTCTTCAGCGTTTTCACGGCTCCAGATGCCGCGGCCCACGCAGCGTTTTTGGGTTTATGGTTTAGGGCCGTTAGGGTTTAGGGGCGCGTGATGAACTTCTGAGTTTTGAGCAGTGATAGCTTCTGAGCCGTTTCTAGCGCTGATTCGCAGTTCGCTTGTCATTCGCTGGCAACCTGCACACGATCAACCCCAGCAGATTTCTGCTTCGCAGTTTCTGATTTTGCAGTTGCTTTGTCATGCGCTGTTCGCACGGGTTTATGATGTGCAGGTTTCAGACGCGCAGTTTCTGATTCGCGCAGCTTTCTGCTGATTCGTGCGGGTTTCTGATGAGTAGTTTCTGATGCGCGTCGGTTTCTGATTCGGAGTTTCTGATTCGGAGTTTCTGAATCGGGGCAGTTTCTGAGTCGGAGCTTCTGATTCTCAGCTAGTTTCTGATTCGCAGTTTCTGACTCGTAGTTTCTGATTTCTTCTTGATCCAGTTTTGACGGCAGTCGCATTGTTCCACTGTCTAGCCGAGGAGGAACGCTCGTGTGGACCAGCATGACCCCTGCACGAGGATGCGCCTGAGGTGCATTAGCATAGTGGTTGGTTGTGAATTGCAGACCCGATGCCGTGACCGAAACCATTGACTCTTTGGGATGGACTGGTGAGCCTGGATCCAAGAGTAACATCATGTACCCTCGTCCTGTTCGCCTAAACCCGCATAACCTTCAACAGACACAACATACACATCAGCAAGAAGCATGACGTTGGTCCGGAATGTGCAAACGCCTGTGCCATGTCAAGGATGCACTGAGCTCGGTTGGAATAGCAGTCTGCCAAAAGCTGCTCCTCTCAGTTGAGCAACTGTGCGCAACGCACGCAGATACTGTGCTTCCAATTTTGAGGCGACTTGCGCTACTCGCAGCTCAAAACTTCGGCCTCGTGCTCAGCCCCTGTCACAGACCTTCGCAGCTGCGCACAGCACTGTTGGAAGATGGCTGACCCTGCTGAACCAAGTTATCGTTGATTCGTGCAGTGTACCGTGTGCTCCATCATGCCTCGGTCGATCTCCTCGTCCGGGTCGCTCGAGGAACTGGATGGCTTCGCCCTGATCGGATAGCGGCAAGACCCAAGGGGTTTGAAGTTGCCTGTTGACAACTGAGCACACAAGGCTGATCTGGAGACCAAACTCATGGCATGTGCCGATTGCTCGGGCTGCCACAAAGGCTTCATCCGCTGAAATTAGATCGCCTGCGTGATGCGCTTGGAGTGGTCTCGGTCTTCGAGTTGTATAAAGAGGTAGCAAAGAGGCTTACACGAGTAGGAGGGATGTGATGTGAGCCTCGCTTGTACAACTCGAGCCCGTCTTCCCGTCTCTCCTTGGCAGACTTGATCCGCTGGTCCTTGGCAAGTCAAAACTGCAGCACAGTCACTAGCCCTCATCTTCTGGGTTCGGCAACTCGGCAACTTCAATCGGCTAGCAGAGTCCTCTTCTGAATTAGCGAAAAATCCGCTTTGCTTCAATCGGCAACTCAAGCAAAAAGAGATGCGTCTTCAACAAGATGAGGCCGCTCTCTGAGAGTCTGGCATGTGCACGCATGGGCACATGGACCGATCCCCAGAACGCTGATTGAAGCTCCGGAAAGCTCGAATGTGATTGTTCGTGTTGTGGTAGCTGAGCACGCTACATTGCGCTCTTCGCTCGGGGCTGGTGAGGAGGCCTGGAGCTCAGCTGTCTTGATGCGTCTTCAGGTCTTGACTCTCTACGGTAGTCGTTTTGGGCACTTTGACTGGACTGTCCTGGCACAGCTAAATGCTTGAGCCATTCAGACACAACTAACTGAACTAATGTCATGCCGCTTCCCTATCAGTTCTCACATCCCACCGTAAGAACCGAAACATTCGAAACATTTCGTGTCTGGTTTAAATTGTCCAGACAGATCCGACACATACTGTCCGAATGTCGAGCTTGCTGGTGCTGTGCCTGCTGCGTTCCGTGGCCAAAACCGCAGCTGCAGAAAGAACTCTAGTCAGCCTGACAGACTGAGTGAGCCTGTATGCCCATTACGTTGTGAAGAACATCTACGAAGGACTTGTAGCTGGCGACGTTGCCAACAATGAAAAGGTAGCGATGTTGTGTTCGTGGTGCCTCCGACTTGTACTTTGCAGCGAGTGGTTGAGTGGTTCGCTTGATCAAGGCCGCCTGCCATGTACGAGACTGTGGCCATCTCGGATTCACCGACTTGGGTGTTGGACTGGCTTAAAAAAGAAAGCAGCAGAGGGGGCCATGCGTAAATTTCCCGGTTTCTGACTTCTGAGACAGTCTGCATATTGCTCCTGCGGTGACGTGTAACCAAGCGCTTTGCAAGCATTGTGAGTCCCATATCCGTTGCCTGCTCGGAATTCAAACTATAATCGGAATTAACGCTGGGTCCGAATGGGCTTCATTTGGAAGCATGAAATATTCAAAACATTGAACCCATACAGTACTGAATCCATCAAATAACAATGTACATTAGCACGTCTAACACTAGATGAATCACATATCGGCTAATTTACATATACACATATATGTATATCGGAAAATTGTACACAAACGTTTTTGAGACATGTTAATTTGATCTGGACAGAAGACATGGAGAGAGGATGCACAGAAGTAACCTATGCAACGCCTTCGGGAACAAAATCGTTTAAACACAATACGATTCCGGCAGTACGCTTGCAAATGAATGAACAACAGGACACAAGTACATTGCAGCGCTTAAAAGATATGTCGACACAAATACATATAAACCTTATGCAGGAAGTGCAGCTTACCTGGCGAAACGAGGTCTTCCACGCCTACTCCAACAAAAAAAGGAAATCAAGAAAACAAAACGCTGCGACCCCGTAGTCGGCTAGCGCCCCGTTCCTGGTTTGATGGGGGCGGGCTGAGAGGATGGCCCCCCCATTCCTCCCCCCCCCCCCATTCCTCCCCCCCCCATCCCTCCCCCCCTGCTTTTACGTTGCTTTGAAAGGTTTCCAATCTGACACTGCGCTACACTGCTGCACTCATCCTAATCCCGTCCTATGGACCCTTAGCAAAAGGGGCACCGGCTCCACCGGTTCCTGCAGCGCCTACTTTACCGTAATGCTGATCAACATTCTGGAACCAGATACTTGCCCTGGCATTGATTCGTGCAAAGCTAGCTCACCCGTCACAACCACTAATCCCTTCCCCCTAATACTGAATCCCTCCCCCGCCCCTTGGGCCCGAAAAATATTTAAAATTCGGGGGGGTCTAAATCCTAAAACCTGAATTCCGAAACCTAATAAAACCCCAAAGCCGAAGACGAGACAGTCGCAGCCTTTTTTTGGCAGAGATTCCGATCCAGTCAGCCCTTGAGCTTCCCGACAGGCCCTGAAACCCTAATGGCTCAACTCAAGGGCGAAGGCCCTGAACCCCTCCCCCGCAATTCTCAAACAGGTTTAATATTGGCCTGGGTGCCGGCAGGGTCCGGGAAAATAATATTTAAGATTAGGGCCGGGGGGTTTTTAGTATTAGGGGGAAGCGATTATTTAGCTCTATTTCTCCCAACATCGCAGTCCTCACCTGACCCAGCAGACTAACTGTGAACAGGTGCTGGCCCGATGCGTGACATACACGGATTGCCGAATTGCATGTAAGCATGTTGGCATGCAGACGATTGATACGAATCTGAAGCAAGAGCTCCAACACTTGCTGCCACAAGGAAGCCTTGCCAGATTTCGGCTTAGCTGTGTGCAATTCGGAATCTGCCGATGCCAGCGCCGCAAAGGTCGAGTTATATGTGATCAAACTTGGCTGTAAGGTCTGCGAGAGCATATTGGAAAGGAGGAATAGAGCCTGTTCCCACTGTGCTGCCTGGCCACAGGCACTGATGGTGGAATTGTAAGACACCGCATCCATCGAATCGGAGAGAAAGCCCTTTTCGCCCTCATGCAGCTCGGACAGCAAAGCTAGCGAAAGCATCCACTGGCCAGCCTTCTCACAAGCATTCAAGAACACGTTGCATGCGATGACATCCAGCATCTCACATGTGTCAAGCAGGAATGTGGCTTCTAGCCACCTCTTGGCCGTTGCGAAGGTGCTCATTGCTGCGCTATAGGTGATCAAATTTGACTCCACCGTTTGCCCGGATGCGCTGCGAATCATGCGCATGGCCTGCATCCACTCCCCCAAACCATCGCAGGCACTGATGACCGAGTTGTAAGATATCGTGGTCGGCTGCAGCCTCCTCACGAAAATCTCTGATAGAAGTAGCAAAGGCTTCTGCCACTCGAGGGCGTTCTCGTAGGCAGTGATCTTGCAATTGTAACTGACGACATCTGGCTGTAGGCGGGCTGAAACGATATCGGTGAAGAAGGACACGGCTTCTCGCCATCTGGCTGCATTCGCGCAGCCAGCAAGCACGCTGTTGCAAGTTGTCCCTACTGGCCGCCACCCACGCTCGATGTCCAAAATGCTGAACACGCTTTGCCATTTGCTGGATTTCTGACAGGCGCTAATGGTTGCACTGTACGTGACTGCATCTGCAAGCACCTCCTTGGGCAACCCAGCCAAAAGTGCCAGTGCATGTGGCCACTTTGCCACTATGTCACAAGCTTTGATCGCACAGTTGTGGGAGATGGCATCTGTCCTGGGAGCATACTTTGCAGAGCTTGGCAGTACAAGTATAATCGCTTCCCACTTGGTCCCTCTCATTCCCCCCAACAAGTGCTGCAGCCTTCTCTGTTGTTATTCGACTCGAGAGGCGTCTAGAAGAAGCAAACCAGGACCGCTCTCCTTCCCCCCTTCCCCACCCTTCCCCACAATCTGGGACCTTCCAACTTACAGCCATAGGAGCCGCCTCGCCACCCAGAACTCCCTGGGAAAGCCAGGAGCCAGAGAATCAGGAGGTCACCCGACGGCTCAGAGGCATCAGCAGGTCGCAGTCCGCCCCACGAGCACCGCAGTTTCTCCTCCGGAAGCGCCATGGGGTGCGCCACGAGAGCCCCCAACACGGACCTGAATGGGGGAGAAGCTGCAAAAGCTTTGGGCATCCCGGTGCCCCACACCACAAAAGCCCCGCCCCCCCCTGTGAAACCTGCGGCTTGGGAGCCGCAATCCGATGCCGCAGGGGGTTCCACGCAGACCCAGACCCTTCACCTTGGCTCTCTGGGATGTTCCTGATATCCCCCACCACTGTCTGCTCTCAGCAAACACGCGCGAGTCCCCACCAGCAGCAACAAGGCGCACACAAGTCATGATCTGCAATACCCCAATCTACCAGAATCTGCTTCAAAACCTGTTGCGTCCTGATCTCCTTCAAGATTGCGATGGGCCGCTGCCACAGGGAGGCATATCCGCAGGCTGCCATGAACACGTTGCAGGTGATCAGATCTGGTCTCAAGCCTTCCTGAAGCACGTTCATCCTGAGATTCGTGACATGGTACTTTCCTCACTGACACGTCAATTGACAATTGACAATCAAGGTGCGGCGAAGGCACAATCACAAAATCATCTGAACTGAGGCGAGACACAGCTGTAGAGCCCACGACCACCCTGCCTTCTCGCAAGCGGTCAAGGCGGCGTTTAGTACGATGACATTGGACCCCCTGCAACCGTAGGACCGTAGAAACTCGTAGGACCGTAGAAACTGCGTCCTACGCGCTTATGAAAGTATCTTCCCATGCCCCCTTAAGGCTCAGAAAAAAGCAAGGCTGACATGTATGCGAATGTATGCGCATGAGGGCCGAGTGTCACTCGCTGCGTTGGCATCTGTCGTAGCAGCAAAAGGGCGCAGCTCCAATCCTCCACAGCGGCAAAAGCGGAGATGGCTGAGCCGTACAGAACAACATCCACTTCGCAGCTGGCCAGCTGAAGCAAAGCTGATGCCTGCCTCCACCCCTGGCACCTCCCACATGCACTCATGGCTGAGCTGCATGTGATAACGTTTGGCTTCTGAGCTACGGCAGCTACCGTAGTGAGGAGGTCGACGACCGGTCCCCACTTCATGGCCCGATCACAAGCATTGATGCACGAGTTGCACGTGATCAAGTTTGGCTGCAACGACTGGTCATGAATGGCATCAAGGATGCCGACAGCCTTCTTCCACTGGGCGGCTTGAGCGCATGCCCCAATTACCGCGGTGAAGGTGATGACGTTGGCTTGCAACACCAATCCTTGGAGGAGGTCGTTCAACAGCAGGAAGGCTTCCTGCCAACGCTGGCCTCCACACTTCGAGATGGCCCTTGTGCACTGTGCCAGCGATGGATGGCTCGCGCACGCCATCGTGCAGTGATTGGCAGCTATCTGCGGTGAACAATGGTGCACAGCAAAGACTCGAGCCCGGATCTATGCGACTAACCACGCGACATGCCGCAATCGCATGGCTGCTGCAACTGAAAAGGCAGCCATTCAGAGCAATCAAATCAGCCTGGCATCTGGATGGCTGCCGGAACAATCCTTACAATGCCTATTGTGTGATGACCGACTGCATGCACTGGACATGCGCTGGACATGCTACAGTCGGCTGTCTAGAGCCTAGAGAACTACACAACGAGCCGAACATGAACCGAGCGCAAGACCTGAAGTTCCAGCAGCGGCTTCGCAGAAAGTCAATCGTCTACGCTGTGAATGCCAAGGCCCCTGGGGGCACCATCGTGAAGCGCTGAGAGGGTTCGTAGCTTGTGTACACGTTCTGTGGAAATTAATGGAGTTTAAGTTGCGCTTTGAATCTCAACATGGGTTTCACAACATGTCTACTTCGCAACCGTAAACGATGCTAAGCAACAAGCATCCAAAACCACCATACCATTCTGGCTGGCATGCTACTGTCGGGCCAGTCTGCAAAGACTAAGGTATCACAATCGTGGAATCAGCTTGTTCTACAGGCCTGACGCTGATGCGGTCGGACGCGACTCAACTTTTAGCGGCTTTTGCTGGCATGCAGAGACTTGCTTGACGAAGAAAGCTCCAGGGTGAGAGAAGAACGAGAGGACAAGAGAGAGCGGAGAGGGCTTTGCTGCAGTCAATTTTCACAACTTCACAAGGCAAATGCAGCAGCAACGCTTGCACTTGAAACTTGTGTTGTGCAAATGGGACTTCGCAACAGCAACCGAAGTGGGCGAACACTCCGTCGAGCCAGGCTGCAGTGGTCGGTTCGAACCGGACTAAACTCTACAAGCACAGAAGCATAGCTACGCAACGTTAAGCAATGTTAAGCATGCATAGGCATATTCTGACAACCTGGGCTTGAACCCTGCGACCCGCAGCGACTTGCAGCACCCTGCACTCTCAAACGCATCGTGCTGACATCCTTTGGAACCACAACGGTGGTTCGGGCAACGAAGGTTGCTTTAGCGGTTGCCTCAGGAGCACCGCCGCTCCCCTGCAAGCGCATGCGGATCATGGACAAGCGGCCTTCTCATGGTCTTCTGCTCACCTCGAGATGATGGCTTCAGTTCTCTTCACCTTGCAGCAGGAATTGAAATCAGGCGTTGCAGGAGCTGTGTTTTCCAAGAGGGTGCACGATTCCCTGCACCCGCGACTGCGACCAAGGCTTCAGCCAGCAGTTGACACAAAGACACCCAGGTCATGAACCTAAGGATCAATACCGGCTCCACCACCCCGCGACTGGGCATGTGGCAAGGTGCTATCAGTCCAGTGCAGGCATGCCAGGGGAACACATTCAGGTCACTGCCCAGCTTTCTTGACTGGAGTCCTGGCGCAGTTGCTGTCAGTTGCTGTCACGGACCACGGCCTGGTGGCCTCATGCGCTCTGAGATCAGCTGTGGTCTCACCGAGGTCACCGATCGAATTGGGCTCCTTTGCCACTGTGCGGGTCGCCAGAAGGACGAAGTAGTGCCTGGCAGGCACGAGCTGCTGAGACGCAACCTCCATTGCAGAAAGCTTGAAGCTCCTTTTTGGGCAAGTTTCCTCACGCACGATGATGTAAAGAGTCGCCACCCACGGCATTGCATGATGTGGCGCGGCACTCAAACATGCCGAAGCTCGGGCCCTGCAATCACTGCAATCTATCGCAGTCTGATAGGACGAGTGTGTGGGATCAATTTCATCTGCAGGACTCCGAAAGCTTGTCGCCTGTAGATTGAGTGAAAAGGCCATCAAGTGGAAGCAGTGGCTCGATGTGACCGTGCACCACTCTCCGCTGAGCACTGCTGCACAAACTCCTGCCCATTCACCGCAGCTGCCTAGCTGAGGAGGGTTTTGCCACAGCAAACGACCTGGCAAGACGCATTTAGACACACGGGGGGCGAGAAGAACAGAGAAAAACTGTGTCGTGAGCATCTGACGACTTGGGCTTGGTTCCGTCTGCTGATTTTTGCTGATTGCCGCCAGGAATCCTGTTTCTCTGGCAGGAGGAAGCCAAACTTTGCGCAGAATACCTCGAAACTGCTGCACGGCGTCACTTCTTTCACTAGCCAAAAACATCCAGCATTGATCAACATACTACCCAGCCCTTCAGGAGGAGTCGCCTTGGCAGAGCCGCTGCATTCGACCACAGGTTTGAACCTCTCAGAGCTCAAACAGTTTTAGAGCATGGACCAATGGCTTGGGGCGGGAGAACCGAATAGTCGGAAAGAGCGCGCATGGCCCGAAATCTGTTAGGGAAAGCCTTCTCTAAAAGCGAAAGGGACCGGACACATATTCCTCAACACATCCCGACACGACACGGAAACACGAGAAACAAAAAACTTGATAAACCAACATAAGCTAAAGATAGCTAAAGACATGAGGACATTGCATGAAGACACAACACGAATGCACGCCGCGAAGACTCGACACAAAGACAGCAGGACACGAAACGATGACGCAGCACGGATAGGGAGGCAAAGACACAAAGGCACCACTCGAAGGCGCAAAGACATGATACCAGGAAGAGAGCGACCGAGGCGGTCCAAAAGCGACGCAAGTTACGAGGATCGCGACCTTCTCGGACCCTATTCCTGATGTTCAATTTTCCTGTCCGACTTTTTGTGAGTAAGTCCCGGCTGTCCTCTCTGCACGTCGCTTCCAGCATCATGAAAATCATTAGTCGCTCTAGTCACGCAAAGAAGCTCTGATTGAACTGGCGACAAACAAACTGTCACACAACTCACACATGTACACAACTTACAGATAGCTGTGTATACATGCATGGATGCACTACGTGTGCACTACTTGCTACTTCGTATTCCGTCTCAAGCCAGGAAGTCTATCCCCGCATCTCCGCTCAAATATGAAGGGTCCAGTAGATGGTGGTGCTCTTAAGCTATTGGAGCATCTGACTTGACAGGTCTCAACTCTGGGCACACCGAGGGGACCCTGTAAGGTTGCAGCATGGTGCAGGAGCAGTTGGCGGCTGGACAGCCACCTTCTCCTCCGAAGCCGCAGAATGCCTGCTCGTGACCAAACAGAACCGTCAAATTACAAATTCAGTACCTGGTCAGTACCTTGGGTGCTATTGGCCTTGCTGTTGATGCAGCAGAAGGTCGTCTCCTCACCAATCATGACCTCCCAACTGCAAAAAAGAGGCCAAAAGCATCGGGCAAAGACTGCGCTGCCCAGCCCCGGCATGTGCCCTAGGCAAGCCATCCCCATGTTGCGCGGCCTCACCGGCTAAGTCCCCGATGCCGAAAGTAATGCAGAAAAGTTGGGAGAAGAGGGAGTCGCCTGAGCACGTGAGCACGATCGAATTGCACATGTGTTAAATCATCCGGAACCATCTTGTCTGTGAGGCTAAAGAAATCCCACACGTGAAGGCGTCATCACAGCCGGAGCGGCTTGAGACCGGCTTTGAGCCCTCACCCAGTGAGGTGTAAAGCGCGGCACCGTGCTCCGGGTCTTCAGCCTCACTGGCCATGGTCAAAGGCAGCAAAGACCACAGAATACTGCGAAGAACAAACGCTTCTGACACGGGGCCATCAAGAACTGCTGCGGAGCAATCTCCTCATCGACCATCCTTGGAGGCATCGAAAAAGTCTTTAGCTCTCCGCCTCCCCGCATGCCCTTTAAGATGTCAGAGTGCCAGGGCAAATGCGAGAGCAAATGCGTACAAGGTTCACGTCCAGATCTGCCAGAACACTGTCCATCACCTGCTCAGCGTGGCAGAGCTGACAGTTGAGGAGAGTCAGAATCGATGGATATTTACGGAACGCTCTCCGGGAAAAAAAGGAACCGGCTTTTAAAGCAAGATGGCTGAATGAGCTGTTTGCCCTGTTAGTTCTGGCGCACAGAGCTGGTCATCGTATTTGCCAAGCAGTGCTTGCGCTAGATCGTGCAGAAGTGGAAAGATATGTCAATGTGAATACGTGTCAAGTGTACTGTAGGGTCCTGCAGGCTGGAGTTGCTCTCTGGCCTGTGGCTCGGGCGCCGCCATGTCGAAGACGGCGAGCTTTTGACGAGAGTTCAGCTGCTTTGAGAGACAGGTCACTGCGAAGACTGGACTCCACGTGTCGAGCTTGACTCTCCTACATTACGCTGCCCATGACAGTATCTTGCACCAACTTTCCTTCGACCAATTTGCAAACCAGCCAGGCTTGCCCCTGGATAAGGTGCCACCTTGCATACATAGCCAGGCGAGGTGGCCACAAGTGCAAATACCGTGAAGGGGTGACCGGCTCCCAGCAAGCACTTCGGGAACGTTGGGTAACAGCATTAAACAAGGGTTCTCGAGCCTTTAGAAAACTGTTTGAAGTCTCATAATGCTGATAAGTTGAAGTACAGGAATGCACAGGCAATCTTTGATGGCCCAAGGTGTATGCAACTCGTCATTACACGTAGAACAGTTCTGGCAGTGCCAGCATGTTCTGCACTCTTTGCACTCTCATACCGAGGAGCTCTTCGAACTCATCCATCAGCTCGATCTTGTGAATCCTCTCCTCGGTAACGGCTAAGCGCAAAGTGAGGCTGTGCCTTGCTATGGCATGCTTTGCACTTTTCTTTCGACACTTCTCAGACAAGCATCGACCTCCTTCTGATCGAGGTGACGGCTGTAGACTTCGTTCATGTCAGAAATCGTGCAACAACCCCAACCTTACATACAACATGTCAGCATTCACCATTCAGGCGATTCACGAATTGATGTTCAGATGTGAGCAGCTGTGTTTTGGCTCCACATGCTGGCCTTGGCTGACCTGGCCTGCGTTCAATTGAAGACAGTGTCGCAGTTCTCTCTCGTCTGGCTTGAATACCACTGCCCTCTATGAAAATTGATTCTGCTCCCTCTCTCTCACTTGTCTTTCAACATTATAATCTTTTTATGCTTTCCGCCCCTGCCACCCCACTCCCTTACTTGCGAAGTTAGTGCCACGGGTCTGGCCGGCTGGTGTTCAGGCATCTGTGCTGCAAGGATGAATTGCTTTGTCGGGCCGACAAAGAATCTAGAATCAACATAGAAATCCCTGGTTTCTACATTGACTCTTTTTGTTTGACCCCCCGTTGCGCCGACCCGGGGTCAAAGAATATAGAATCAGTATAGACACGCCTGGTTGCTACATATTTTGTGTAACCCCTGTCGCTGGTCGAGGGTCAAATAAAGAAATCCCTTATTGATTCTTATTGTTTGATCCCAGGTCACCCCCTACCCGGCAAAACTGCAAAAAGAAGGTCTGTGAGAAACTCGCGCTTTCCAGCCAATGAAAGTCCTGATGGATGCTTCTTCCACCACAAGAGAATCCGAAATCGGCACGTTGTTTAACCCGATAGAAATTCTGGTTTCTATGTTGACTCTATATTGCTTGACCGGATGACTTAATTCTATCTTGGCTTGCTCAGCGTGTGTTGTGTTTTGGGTGTTTTCGTTTACTCTTTGTTTTTGGTCACTTCTTACTCGTCATTTTTCCTGGGCGCTTATATTGCGACAACCGCTCATGCTAAGTCTGCTGCCCGCTGCCCACAATGTCCAAAGGCATCCAAGTGTTCCCCTTCCCGCTGAAAACATGTTGCCCTTAAGGAATTAAGTAGGCAAAGCTGCAGATTTTCAACACGAGTTCGAGAGAAGTTGTATGCCATGGTACTGAAGCAGGTAACTGTAGCTTGTTCCGTGTGTTGCTTTTCTTGGGTATGCGGCTCTTGGTCACCTTGGAAACACTCGGGCACGCTCGTTCAGTTTCGGTCGCTTTGCCTGTCTGTCCAAGGTCTTTGCCATCTTCGTACAGCTGAGCCAGCGGCCCCTGTCCAAGAAGCGCAACTTCTGCGCGTCCATTGAGGGATAACTTAGTGTAGTGGCAACCGCATGAATGTTTGAGGTGAATGTTCGGATACGGCTCCGAAGTAACTTTGACAAGGTTTGCAGGAAAAGCTGGACAGCACGCCAAATAGGCATGGGGCTCGAAGACCGACAGCAATGGACAGCCACGCTCTGCAAGGTTGTGCACCATCACCTGCCAACTGCATGCAACTGCTGGCAACAGCGCAGCAGCCTTTTGCTAATCCAGAGGCAGCAAGAGAGTCACCTTAGATTCTGGATGTGGCAACTGCACCTACACAATGCGGCCTTGCCGAAACGATCATGGGGATTGGTCTGCTCCTTGGAAGCTTGACTCATGGAAGGAAAACACTGAGAACACGTCCAACAAAATCCTGCAGACTCCCCTACGGGCAGTTTAACCAATTGTCTCTCTGAGCTCTTCAGGTGCAAGCTGAAATTCATCCTTCACCTCACGCCTCCGTAGGATGCGGTAAAGACACGTACATGACCATGGCTGAAGGTGCTGAAGGTACCTCTCACATTCACGAAGAGATCTATAGGATGCAAGTGCATGACATAGAAACCGGATGTGACATCTATGTTCAGGGTCGCGTAGCGTTAAAATTAGGAACTTGAAGAATTTGAGCCGTGCTCAACGCATTGTAAAAATCTAAAGAAGCTGCTTTAAAATTTGACAAAAACTTAACCTACGTAAATTCTTCAAGTTCCTAAATGGGGTAAACGGAAATCGCCTCCCGGAACCTTCGAATCGCTGAAAAATGCAAATTCGTGCCAATTTGAAACTTTTGGCATTTAAGGGGGCCAGCGCCCCTTTTTACAGATTTAAGTTTTTTGTTACCCTTGAATTCCTTAAGCGTTGAGATCTGGGCCTTGACTTCATTACTTAGGAACTTGTGAAATTTAAGGAATGTAAACTCTTTTAAACTCCTTGCTTTTCAAATTTGATCCTTGTTCTGCTCCTCGCAACACCCACGGAACTCGCAGGTTCCATTTCCTCTCAGCTATCTCGTTCAGGAGGAGGAAAAAATGGATTCAGAGAGAAACGAAGAGAGACAGAGAGAGACAGAGAGAGACAGAGAGAGAGAGAGAGAGAGACAGAAAAAAACAGAGAGAGACAGAGAGAGACCGAGAGAGACACAGAGAGAGCCACAGACAAACAGAGACACGGAGAGACACGTAGAGACACGGGGAGACAACGGAGAGACACGGAGAGACAACGGAGAGACACTGAAAGAGAGACACGGAGAGACACGGGGAGACACGGGGAGACAACGGAGAGACAACGGAGAGACATGGGGAGACAACGGATAGACACGAAAAGACAGGGAGACGCGGAGACAGGGAAAGAAAGAAGGAAAGAAAGAAGGAAAGAAAGAAGGAAAGAAAGAAGGAAAGAAAGAAGGAAAGAAAGAAGGAAAGAAAGAAGGAAAGAAAGAAGGAAAGAAAGAAGGAAAGAAAGAAGGAAAGAAAGAAGGAAAGAAAGAAGGAAAGAAAGAAGGAAAGAAAGAAGGAAAGA